CACCATAGGTGTGTTAGAATAATCAGAACCCATCACCAGCAGGATCGCAACCATTGTGACAAATGCGGAAAGTTGCACGAGGGAACGTGCAATGCAGGTAATTCAAGCTGCTTTAAGTGCGGCCGAACTGGGCATGTTAGCAGGGACTGTACAGCTACCACCACTACCACGACATTATCAGATCTAAATTGCTTCCAGTGCAATCAGAGGGGATATAAGTGGTACCAGTGTCCAAGTTTAGCAGCGATAGGATAGGTGGTAACACCCACTCCTGCTCTACTGAGGCTTACCGATGGCACTCAGGGCCGGTCAGAGGCGCATGTGGAAAAGAGTAGGGCCTTTCAGCTGACACTAGAGGACGCACATGTAGCTCCCAATGTGGTGATGGGTATGTATCTTCTCCTTAGACACCTTATCCAACAGTCTCCCACTTGGATAAGTCTAATAACTATAGTTGTAAGTATAACTTCAGGATCCGACTAGCAATCGTGGCTCTTAAATGCCTTTGTCGAACTTAGATGTACCATTTTAGATAAGTGACCATAAAATCCTTTTTCTCAAGATATCAGCTGGAAAAACACATGGAACACAGTCAATCTTATTGTTTAACAGTTTGTTTCTCGATTTCTGATTAATTTGACATAGAACTTAATTGAACACATCAATTTAGTTCTAACTGGGCGCGACACATAAGTCAAAACAAAATCACCGTGGGGCCTAAGATATCGCTTTTAATCCTCTAAGAATTAAAAGGAACAGATAATCTTTGACATTATATGCTTGTACTAACTATTCACTGAACCATACATGACAATACGTTTTATAACACCCGGTTACCGATGCGTTTTCGTACTATCAATGTACGACCAGCTCATAGAAAACAACTCATATATTTAGGTTTGAAGATTATATGATACTATTGTCTCACGATACTCGAGGTAAATTCCATGAAGTGATACTAGTAAGCGTGGGTTATATCCAATACTCAAACTTTATGATCACTCATGAATGTCATAGCAATGTCTAACCATTTCTGACAATCTACAAGCCAAATTCATGATAGTCTTGCTTCAATACCTACTTCCAAAGTATGATCGACTATGGATGGTTAGAATAATACAATTATTTTGGAATTCAAAACATGCAAAATGAGACAATAGTAAATGATCCACACAAAACAGTACCATACTAGTAAATAAAAAGAACCTTTTATTTAAGCATCAAATGCCAATTACATTTCAACTATTACAAGTTTCAAAAGCTATCTAATCATTAAAACTAATATCATCCCTCAGCCCAATGCGCCTCGCATGCTGTAAATGCTTAACCCTACTCAGTCCCTTCGTGAGGTGATCTGCAGGGTTCTCATCTGTTGATACCCTCTTTGCCACAAGAATTCCTTCTTCTATCTTGTGTCTTATGAAGTGATATTTCCTATCGATGTGTCTGGACCTCCTATGATCCATTGGTTCTTTGGCTAAGGCAACCTCACTATCGCTGTCACAGAAAATCTCCAAAGGCTCCTTTATAGCTAGTACAACTCCAAGGTCTCTGATGAAGTTCTTAAGCCATATCGCCTCCTTCGTCTCTTTGCTTTCTTCTATGTACTCTGATTCGCATGTTGAATCAGTTACAGTCTCCTGCTTGGAACTTTTCCAAGTAATTGCTCCTCCATTCAGGGTAAACACCCAGCCCGACTGAGAGTGGAAGTTATCTCTGTCGGTTTGAAAACTGGTGTCACTATACCCCGCCACTCTCAAGTCATCACTCCCACCAAGTGTAAGGCCCCAATCCTTAGTCCTCCGCAAGTACTTGAGAATTTTTTTCATCACAGTCCTGTAAGCCTTTCCAGGATTCCCTTGATATCTGTTGACCATGTGATCGAGATCTTTGTCTCGGTCAACAATAAACCTCACACACACTAGATAGCTAGGGTAAGTAAGGGTCGAATCCACAAGTACGTTGTGGTCCAACTTTGTGTTGATGAAAAACTACTAGCAATTGTCACGAAAGTATTTAAACTAAAAGTTGATGAAAAAGCTATTGGTGATGCAAGAACTACTAAAACAAACTACTATCAATGAGAAGAAAAACAAGATACTTTCGGTTCAGTTGTTCAGATGCTTGGACTTACATGTTCTTCTTCCCTAAAATTCCAATAAAATTAACTAGACAAAATTAAGGTTGATTAACTTGCAACAAATAATTTTGAGCACTCAGTATGTTATTCCAACTAGTTGTCTTACTCATATGTTTAATTGGATTAGAAACAACTAGTGGTTTAGCGATAATATGTCTTAAGATTACCTATTACAATGTTGAGTATATAATACTACAAATTCGTAATAATGTATGTGGGTTCAACTGATCATCTTAGTTCCTAAACTACTTGAATTCAGAATGATTAGTGAATTAATAATACACTATCTTAGTTGCAATATCACACAATAAGAAAACCTAACTCAAATTACTGTAAGTAAAAATCATAACTTTAAGAATGAAACAACAATTGAAATTGACTAGAATAAAAGTAATAATCAAAACATGTTCATCCTAAAATCCTACAACATTCCCGGAAGTAACCTAGGTGGTTTAGCCTTCCTTATGATTAACAAAACACACAACTTCAAGATAAAAAATGGAATTAATGCTAAAATTCACAAACCAACTTGAAATCATAAAATCAATGAATTCGAATGATCAATAAACTATGGAACAACGAAAACATGGGATAAAAGAATCAAATTTTGTGCTTGATTGAATTGATGTAGATCCGTCGGTTGAACGATCTTCAAACGTTGAATTATAATGAATTTGGTGTTTTCTCATATGTGATTTGGAAATTAATGATCAAAAACATGTTTGGAGAAACTTTGAATGTGTTTGGAACCCTCCAAAACTGAGGAAAATTGTAGGGAAGAAGTCCAATTTTGATTAGGGTTAAATCTCCTTTAAATAGGTGCTGAAAAGACTGATTTTTAGAGTTGTTTTCCACGTCGACGTCATAGTGGGCATCTTAGACGTCATATAGGACGTCTGGGCGTCCTTTGGGACGTTTTACATGTCATCTTTCATCCTTGATTTGCACTTGAAAATGGCCTAAAATGGGTAGGCATCCTAGGAGGCATCTTAGACACGTTCTAGGACGTCCCAAATCTTTGTTGCCCCTTTTTGGTGATGAAAACGGTAAAATCAGCAAAAACGCAAAACATAAAAGTTGTAGAAAATTTTGTCTAGTTTCTGAAATCCTTCATGTCAATCGGAGATCTAGATCTTGAGATATGATCAAAACATTGAAGAGTGGTCAAATTTATCACCACTATTTTTCTTCATTCTTTGAGCAATTCGTCTCACATGCTTGTTAGCTTCATTTTGCTCATTTTTCTTGCAGGTTCCACCCACTATAGCACTAAGTAGTTTCCTACACATAATGTTCAACATTTCATCAAAGTAGTGTCATTCTTGGAAAATTATGCATCAATTCAAGATATTTACTATAATTTATTATGCCATAAATATATACCAATCAAACCTCCCCAACTTTATTCCAAACTCGTCCCGAGGTTGGCCTAAAATAATCAGTGTAGGCTTACTCCCTAATCCTAATTAAAACTCAATGGAATCACGAATTCTGTACACCTTATCAAAACATTTTCAATAAGCACAATATATAGATTTTGGGGATTATTAGTTGATTATCCGGACTTTTAAACAAAATACATGTTATGCTTATCTTACTTTGTTGTTTGAAACCCTCTACTTTTAAACCCTTTCCAATAATCCACCTCATGAGTAATCAGTTGAACTCATTGCCAAAGTCCCATTTTCAAGGTTTACTAACATAGTTAGCGCGGCCGATAACACTTAATGGATCAACCCATACACTCCCGCTATCGAGGGGTTACATATTGTTTCACACAATGTCTTCAACTTGAACTTTTCTTTATATTTATCTTGATTGTGCATTCTCCAAGTTCTTTGATGGCTTCATCGGATTTGATCATCTTTGTATTTGACTTGAGGTTGAATATAGATACTTGGAAGTTCTTTAATGTCTTTTGATTCTTTTTGATTGTGTGAAAACAATAATAGTCTCCTCCCAACCCCAAAGGCGCATAAGTAAGTAAGACCATGTAATTAGAGCATAATGACACATATTGTTCGGTTGGGTCCTCAATTGAAAGATCGTAGGCTCGAACCAAAAACCTTCATTTTTCAAACACTTGGGTATTTCACATAAAAATTTTTAAATAAATATAAATATTCCCAAACCGGCTAAGCAACCAACAAAATCAATATCAAATAGATATTATGACTCAATATATGAAACTCCTATCATTTTCGAACTTTATGAGTTACATTCAAGATATAAAGATGCTGCTAGCTCATCAAATATTTCATGGTGACCAACTTCAGGATAAGATAATTAAAGATAGAGTTTAAGATAGCAGTACATTCATCCTAAGTTGATTATCCAAAAACAATTCATCAAAGTTAATGTAAAAGAAATTAAAAATATGGAGGAAGACACACCTGATGGTACTGATAGTAGAGGCGGTTTTGATTTCCAAAAAAACTTCACTAGTTGGCGGTATTTGCATAATGTTTCATTATACCCGAATAAACATCGAATAATTATCATTTTTTTTTAAATCTGTTTTTCTTCAATCCTCCATCTTTTTGTTGTGTACACCCCTCCCCAACTTTAAGTCTTGCATCGTCCTTGATGCATCAAAATATAAATTCCTAAAATAATAATAAAAAAAAGAAACAACTACAAGCACACAAATCAAATCAAATAAAAATAAACTACACTAACTAGCCCTTAATTTCGTCGCGGTCCACGATTACACTTGGCACATGCAACAAGCCTTTTAAACCCCTACATTACCCCTAGTTGACGAGTGAAGTCTCGTGAGGGTTTGCAATGAACACACCCAAAAAGCTCCAAAATTGCCAAGTTTAACGTTATTAGCGGGACGGGTTACCTCGAGTGATGTCTATAGAGGATCATATGTTTGTGGACTTTTTTGAAAGTCAACCGTCTTGTTGTTGACCTTAACCTCAATGACCAGATCGTGTGGCATGACATCTTTGACCATGTATAAATAAACCATGTTGCCTCTAATCTTTCCACGGTGACGCCTAAACCTTGATTTGAACATCCAAGCATAATTTTTATTAATGGACTTATTGACTCGATGTTTGGTATCATGAAACATCTTCATCTTTGATTTATGGGTAAGCGCAAAATCATGTTTCTTGGTCCATAATTTCTTCTTCACTTGTTGAAACTCGACCTCATCCAATTCTATTAACCTATGACAAGGAAAAGGTTTCTCTAAATCATAGTTGGTGTCATAGAGCATATTTGTCGTATGCTCATAAACATAATGTAGAACCTGGTTCCCGGTATGTATTTCTTGTAATTAATAATTCTAAATTCATGCATTTTTGCCTTGGACTCGGTGAGTTGAAGGACCGACTTGTTGAGTAGGAGCGGGATGAGACATGAAGTCTGAGCCTTGGACTCGGCAAGTCGGTTCCCCGACTCAGCGAGTAGGCCCCGTTGGGCAAAAACCTTAACCCGAGTGTTGGCACCCTATTTAAGCACAATAAATCGGCCTCCCATGTCCCTAACACTTCTAGAGAGCTGTAGTTAGAGACCCTAGCCCCCATATTGTTCTTGTGAGTGATTTTTCTTGGTGAAGGAAGTTTGGGGCTTAGAAGAAGAAGGAGGAGGTTGAAGAGTGCAAGGAAGGGAGTAGATCCGAGATCTACACTATGAGAAGCTTCCATTCAGGTAGAAAAGTTCATACCTTGATCACTAGTTCATTAGATGCCATTTTTGTCCCAAATTGGTGGTTTTCAAGCCCTAAAACACCAAACTCCATGTGTTTGTGCTTAATGATCCGAAAGGACTTTAGATCTTGACCTTGTGGACGTATTATAAGCATAAAGTTCCTGTGGATGAAGTGATTGAGGTCCCCATTGAGTGTATAACCTCATAAAGAGCTTGGATTTTCCTTTTAAAGCTTGTAGGGCCATGCATGCACGTAAAGTTTGCAACTTTACGTGATAAGCATGCCATAGGAACATAGATCTATGGTTTTGAAGCGTTGCATGTCTCAGATTTGGTCTATATGGGAATTGGGTCAAGGGACTCAGCGAGTCCCAAAGTGGAACTCGACGAGTTCTTTAAAGACGGCCTTAGACTCGGCGAGTTGGATGAACAACTCGGCGAGTCAGATGAACAGTTACAGAGTAAGAGGGGTTAGATGTTGAAGGTCAAAACTTCGTATTTACACGCAGAATTAGCAATCTAACGTGTTGCAATAGTCCCAGAAACCCAAATCCTCATAAGGGATGCTCTGGTGCGGATTTGGAAGCGACTGGGAGGTCTGCTCGTATGGACTCGGCGAGTTGTTCTTGGACTCAGCGAGTCGGATCGCGAGCTGGTTCTATCGTCCCAAGTAGTAAGTTAAAGGTGACTCAGTGAGTGGGAAGAAGGGCTTGTAGAGTAGGACCGGGTTAGTGGGAGAAGGACTCGGTGAGTCGGTGCCATGACTCGGAGAGTCCAGTCAACTGGAAGTTGACTTTGAGCAAGGGGTTGACCTTGGACCAGGGGTGGGTCATTCATCTGACCTAAGGGTGTGAATGAGTGGCTAATCTATGTTTATTATTTATAGCCGGAGGATTACCGATTCAACAGTCAGGCGCTTAGCAAGCAGGCTTTCAGCAGCTACTTATCTAGGTGAGTTACCTTCTAGTAGCGGTGGATCTAAGGCCACAATGTCGGCTCATCAGTAGGAGAAGTATGATAGATGATTGTCTTTGTGATATCATCTAGGTTTGTTACTACCTGATATGTTGTATGCTAGCATGATATGTTGTATGTGATAGTAGTAGAGTTCGGTTGTTAGGACCGAAGGGTAGTTCAGGCACCCTAGATATGTCTGATAATATGCTTATATTATGTTATATGTGATAGTAGTATTAGGGGATGAAATACTCCCCGAGATTCGATTGTTAGGACCGAAGGGTAGTCAGCACCCCAAAATGGCTTGACATGGGTAGTCGGCACCCCAGAATGGCCGTACGGGTAGGTCAGGCACCCCAGAAATGTATGGCGGTATGTATGTGATATGATTGTATGGTATGTGGTATAATGGGTGGACTCACTAAGCTTCGTGCTTACAGTTTTCAGTTTTGGTTTCAGGTACCTCTTCAGCGAAGGGGAAGGAGTCGGCGCGGTAGTGGCACATCATACACACACACTTTGGATTTCCGCATTATGAGATATTATGCGATTGTACTCTGACATTATTATAATTTTCTTGTTTTGGATTTTCAAACACGTAATATGTTTTATGAAATGATATGATCGGATGATGTTTTGCAATAAATATTTTACAAACCACTTATTTTTAAATGAATTTTTTTGGCGTGAAAATTAGGTTGTTACACAAAATCAACGATAGTATTGATCACAAATAGTTCACCACCAATTGGAGGATCATTAGTAGGTCCAAATAATAGGAGTCCCAATTTATATTTTCCAAATGTCATATCAATCACACCTTCCCGACAACTAATATGAGCATAGATGGTTTCCAAAAAGGGAATATCAATGATTACAATTGTGTGTTTGTATTTGGAATTTTTTTAGAATCTATTGCAACAAGAAGTTCTATTTAAGGTTTTTTCAAAAAATTTGGGTAGGGAGTGGTATTAGCCTCCACAAACCCCTCCCCAACTTTGGACTCTTACAACTCTTGAAAATCTTCATTATACTTATCCAATTCAATTTCAACTTCTTTAATTTCAGAAATACTCTCAATCTCCTGATCATTTAAAGATACATAATCCTCCACCACAACCTCTAATTTGAGTGGTGTAACTTTATGCACTTTGTTATCAAATAATTTATCACTACATGGAAAATTTACCTCATTCACCAACGTAGTGTCTGAAAGATTGTATAAGAGTTATTGATTTAGTTGCTCGACTATATGTTCTAATTGTTTTTCAATAAATGAAATTGACTTGGAGTTGTCTTCTTCTTTGTTGAAGGTTTCATTCAACATGTCCAACATTTGATCTAACTTTTTGTTGAATGAAGAGTTGTCTTATTCTTGGTTGTTTGGAAAACAAGATGATATATGGTGATAGCTTTGAGCCGAATTTCCAGTCCACCAACAATCATAATCATATCGATCATCATATGGATCATCATTATATGAATCATTACATGGATCATTATTGTATTGATATTGGGCTGGATTTTCATTCCCCAACCACATATCTTGATTTATATATGTGTATTCCTCCATTCACAATTGTCCCTACAAAAAAACAATAAAATAGTGAAGATTCTGAACTAAAAATAAAAAAATAAAAAAACAAAAAAAAATGTAATGGCTAGTTCAACACAAATTTTTAAGCTCAAAATCTCCCCATAAACGGTGCCAAATTTTGATCGAGGTCGTTGTCTCGGTCAAAAATAAACCTCATACACACTAGATAGCTAGGGTAAGTAAGGGTCGAATGCACAAGGAGGTTGTGGTCAAACTTTGTGTTGAATTAGTTAATGAAAAACTACTAGCAGTTGTCACGAAAGTATTTAAACTAAAAGTTGATGAAAAAGCTAAAAACTTGGAAATGCAAGAACTACTAAAACAAACTACTATCAATGAGAATAAAAAAAGGATACTTTCGGTTCAGTTGTTCAGATGCTTGGACTTACACATTCTTCTTCCCTAAAATTCCAATTTAATTACCTAGACATAATTAAGGTTGATTAACTTGCAATAAATAATTTTGAGCACACAATATGTTATTCCAACTAGTTGTCTTACTCCCTATGTCTAATTGGATTAGGAACAACAAGTGGTTTGGCGATAATGTGTCCTACGATTACCTATTACAATGTTGATTATATAATACTATAAATTCGCAATAATGTATATGTGTTCAAATAATCATCTTAGTTGCAATATCACACAATAAGAAAACCCAACTCCAATTATTGTAAGTAAAAATCATAACATTAAGAATGAAACGATAACTTAAATTGACTAGAATAAAAGTAATAATAAAAACGTGTTCATCCTAACATGCTACAATGTTCCTGGAAGTAACCTGGGTGGTTTAGCATTCCTTATAATTAACAAAACACACAACTTCAATATAAACAACGTAATTAATCCTAAAATTCACAAACCAACTTGAAATCATAAAATCAATGAAGTCTAATGAAAAATCAACTATGGAACGATGAAACCTTGGGATGAAATAATCAAATTTGGTGCTTGATTGAATTGATGTAGATCCGTTGGTTGAACGATCTTCAAACGTTGAATGATAATGAATTTGGTGTTTTCTCGTCTTGGATTTGGAAATTAATGATCAAAAGCGTGTTTGGAGAAGCTTTGAATGTATTTGGAACCTTCCAAAATTGTGGAAAATCACAGGGAAAAAGTCAAATTTCGATTAAGGTTAAATCTCCTTTAAATAGGTGCTGAAAAAACTGATTTTCGGAGCAGTTTTCCGCGTCGACGTCATAATGGACGTCTTAGACGTCATATAGGACGTCTGGGCGTCCTTTGGGACGTTTTACATGTCATTTTTCATCCTTGATTTGCACTTGAAAATGTCCAAAAACGGGTAGGTGTCTTAGACGCGTTCTAGGACGTCCCTAATCTTTGTTGCCCCTTTTTGGTGATGAAACCGGTAGAATTAGCAAAAAAACAAAACACGAAAGTTGTAGCAAATGTTTTCTAGTTTCTGAAACTTCTTCCTTCATGTCAATCGGAGATCTAGATCTTGATATATGATCAAAACATTGAAGAGTGGTCAAATTTATTAGCACCATTTTTTTCATTCTTTAAGCAATTCGTCTCCCATGCTTGTTACCTTCATTTTGCTCATTTTTCTTGTAGGTTCCACCCACTATAGCACTAAGTAGTTTCCTACACATAATATTCAACATTTCTTCAAATGAGTGTCATTCATGGACAATTATGCATCAATTCAACATATTTAGTACAATTTATTGTGCTATAAATATAGACTGATCACCATGCTCAAAGAAAATGTCACATCAGCACGAGTACAAGTCATATCATACATGATCGAGCCAATAGTAGAAGCATATGGCAATCAACTCATCTCAGCTATCTCTAAATTTGTACTCAGACTCTAAGCTTTACTTAGTTTGTCATTGCTCTGGATCGATACGTCATCTTTCTTGGAATTATGCATGTTTAACCTCGTCAACACTTTGTCCAAGTAAGTACTTTGACTAAGTCCAATTAGTCTCTTACTCTTGTATCTCAATATCCTTATCCCTAGGATATATGCAGCTTCT